CAGGCAATGAAATTGCATGCAGTGATTGCTCTCTCTGTGCTGGGTAACGGACTGGATGTGGGGTAATTGGGTAGGGAAGCCTCCTGAGTCTGGATCTCTGTTGCCAGTCAGTTTGCTTGACCTTTCTGTGTTCTACTTTGTCTGGAAAATAAAGGTAACTCATTTCTGTGGACAGATTAGACTTTGCAGAGAAATACTGGCTGAGATGAAGTAGAAAAATCCAAAATGTCATGCAGAACCTAGGTAATTAGGAGCTTATCTAATCTAAATCCAGATGTTGACTGGCTTTTGGTTATTTCCCTCCGTTCTCCTTTTTTCTTGCAGATTTAAGGTTTGGATTACTGAGCTGTGAAGGAAAGCAGGGAGAATGGGGTGTCAGCAGGTAAACAGGACTCAGGGTTTTTTATTTTTTTCCAATACGTAAATCCTTAAGCGGAGTTGAAGTTAATTAATTCAATAAACTTGAACTCCCCCTTTCAACATCACGGCACATTCAGGATGAATCTAGTTGAATGCTAAACAGAAGCCAAACTTGGTGCGTTTTATATATATATTTTCTTTCATTTATGTGTGGAAGAAATACACTGAAGACTGTGTCCTTAGATTTTGGGTGCTGGAATTTTCTGGTTTGGTTATCTGAAATCAGTGGCTTGAGTAATGAGATCTGCTGCAAAAGGGCACGTTCAGAAGAAATCAAACGAAACACATCCTAATCCTGGAACTTGATTTTCTCGTAAGAACTTCTAGACCTGTGCTAGTAAACTTTAACCTCAATTTCTTTACTTTGTTTAGAACGGTGGTGTTTTTCAAACACATAAATGTTAAGAAAACTATTTTTATTCTTATCTTTACAGCAGGTACCTTTTAATATAAAATTGTTATTACTTTATTAAAGAAGAAAACTTTTTGAAGAGCTGCTTCTGAGCTTACATATGGTCATTCTGCAGTGAGGAGCAGTGTGTTCAGCATAGTTTACATCAAAGTTCTCAGCAGAGGATGGTAATCTGGGGTTGAAAATGGTTGCTTAGCTCTCAGAATTGGGATTGCTGGTTCATTTTGTAAGTCTGCTTTTTTGTTTCTGAATTAGCTGAGGGCATGACATTTATCTTCAAACCTGAAGTTATTTAAATCCAATTATTTTTCAGCTCTCAATCTACTGAACAGATTTCTTACACTTAACTTTGCTTTATTCTTGATGAGCCTTGCAAGTCATGCTTGATCTGTCGACCTTGCACTTGAAACTAAATTCCAGCTTGTTTATTCTCTTGAGTGACCAGTAGTTGGCAATAACAGTATTTCAAACTGTTAATTATAGGTGGCAAGGCAAGCAAAGCCACATTGTCTGTTGTCTGCAGAGTTCTATTTTTCTCAGAGTTAACGTAGCATCAACTCAGTTCTTGCCAAAGAAGAGTCTGTTACTTTCCCAGCCCACACCTTGCAGATGATCTTGTATCATATATGTCTTGTGAAGTTCTCAAGATCATCGAAATCATGCTTGGAAGCATCATCTGCTCTAGTGCCATTTTTTCTAAGGTGCTTTTCTTAATCTAACAGTAAAGAAGATGCTCAGTTAGATAAGGCAATGTATTTGCTTGTAACCTACTGACAGGTGGCTGCTGCTTTTGTTTGAAACTGCTTCTCTCGTCCTGCTGCCAGACAAGTTCCGCTGAAGCCAGATAAAATCATTTAAACTTGAGGCATAAATAAGGCAAGTCGTAATCAGGTTAAAAGCACTGATGGCCAGTTTCTTTCTTTAGAACAGAAACAAAAAAAAGCCTAGAACCATTCTATAGGGAAGGTTGGCAGGTCAGTGACTTCTCATGAGGGGCAGAGGGATCTTCTCAGCTTCTTTTGTAGGCTGTGTAGTGACTACAGCTCTGGCAAACGTACATTATGTTGAGAGGTAAGAGATTACATGGTCATCTTGATCCAGCTTAGGGCTAAATGGTGTCTCTTGCAAAGAGGCTCTTGTCTTCTCAGGTTCTGTGGTGGAGTAAAAGCCATAAATGAAAAGGCTTTATTCTGCCCTTTTGTGCCTGAGGACAGCCTGAGGCCCAGAGCATGGGGCATGTAGGCAGAAGATATTGCTAAAGAATTAAGGTACTTCTCTTGAGAAGCTGCAACTCCAGTTTTCAAGGCTAAGCCATTGAGAACTCAACGTAATGAAGATTACTTGCATTTTTAAAAAAATACATTAATTAAGAAAAAAATAAATTCCCTGTTTAGCTAGAGAGGAGGAAGAGCTCAGCCCCTGACATATCTCTGGGCTTTATCAAAATCAAGTCCTTGTAACACAGGACAGCAATTTCTCCCCTGGAGTTACAAAAGGTAATTTGCAGGAGATGTACCCTGGTAGGAAAATAACCCAAGGGAAATAACTGTGGCTTACTGAAGAGAAATACAATCATGAAATGACAGTGAAGGTGCTGCTTAGCAGCCTCCTTATTGCCCAGGAAGCTCTGACTCTTCATGTGGGAGGCAGATGAGAGATGAACTTGCTGTCCCAGAACTGATGAGTGTGCAGGGATGCTGCATTGCCATGATCCTGCCTTTCCTGGCAGAGAGACCAAACAGTCTCAGCACTTATCTTAACAATGTTTGGATGCCAAGAGTACTCAAACTCTGCTCTACATTAGTGGTTTTCTTGGCATGCTGGGGTTAGGATCCAGTATCTGTTGAGCAGTAGATGCCTGGATGTTTGATCAAGAAATAAAACTCAAGAAATCCTCTGTACGTGTACCTTTCTGTCTTTCTTTTCTTCACCCTACCAGGGCAGGGATAAGACAGCTCAGCGTTAGCCTGACCAAGTTGGGACTGCACAGTTCTTCTCCCTTGCTTGATCCCTGCCGTCACCCAACAAAGCTGGGCCTATGTGGTAAAGCAGGGCACATCTTACATCCTTGATGCATTCCCTCACCTACAGCCAGGGCATAGTGCAGACCCTGAGCTATAGGCAGCAACCAGAATTATTACAGTGCTCTTTTGTGTTCAGTCAGTGCAGTAGAGGCATATGCTGGAAATGTGGGGGTATTCCTGGCAGTCTTAACAGTCGCTTTGCTGCTGTGGCAGCAGAGTCACAGTTGGGGACTCCCCTGGTTACAGTTGGCTGGAGAGCCCTGGTCCGTCCTGCCTCTGACTAATCCCTGGGGCCTTTGAACCTCTGTCTGCATGGCTACCTCAAAACCCACCAAAGGAAAAAAAAAAAAAAAAAAAAAAGAAAAAAAAAAAAAGTGATATGAAATACCTTATTCTATCTGAAGAAGCAGGCTGCAAAGGCAATATGGTTGTAGTGTGTGTGTGTGTTCCAGGCAGGGGCATGTCAGGATACATGGAATTCCTATAGAGTTTGGACAAAGGCTGAGGAAGCAGTCAGTCTGGTATCTTTCCATTTCCCCAGGAAAGGATCCTGTCACACTACTTCCCTTTTATTCTTGCTTCATATGGGCACCTTACAATCTTATTTTTTTCAATAGAAAAGACTTCTGGTTGGAGAGTGGGTATAAATCTCTGAGACATTTGTCCACATACTGTCCTCATGTACAAACTGCATCTGCTTCTGGGGCAGAGAAGGCTCTAAGAGGTTTATGATTTAACACAGCACAGCAGATTGTGTGCAGTGGAAATTGTTGTAGAAGAATCCTGGAAGCCACAGGGTGATTATTGCAGTGTAATTGTAATTCATTTCTTAGCGTGCTGTATAATCTCTGATGAAAACAAATCAGGCCCCTGTACCCTAGAACAGCTTCACCAGAAATGAAAGCTCTAGCTTTATGGCATCTCCGAGTTTCTTTCCAGAACCTTGGCGAGTTATTAGTGCAGCTTTCCACATAAACCTGTTGAGAGAGCAGGGGACAAGTGGGTTTCTTAGCTGAATTTCTTAATTGTTCTCTATCAAAAGTAGTGTTTGCCACAGATCTTTAGTGGATTTGAGATTTACAGTTTCTATACTCAAACAGTAACATGTGAGAGGAGGGAACAGTTTACTTTTCCTGCCCAAATTACCTTTTTATGCTTCTTGTTGCTTCTGCTCCTGTCCCAGAAGTAGCTGAGCCAGTTAATAACAGCAGCTGACAGAATCTAGGGTGAGTGAAAACTGTTACCTCTTAATCTGAATCCCCAGTTCCTTTGTGAACTCTCTGGCCCCTTCCCCCAAAGCCATCTCAGAGACCACCATTGTCATCAGCTTCCCTCATGCTCATCTCTTCCGCCTTGTTTAGTACAAAAATCACTAAGGGTGTTTTGACACGTTGTTTTCTGCCCTGTGAAACAGAGAGTGCTAGCAACGTAGGTGTATCTGAAGAACACCTGTGGTTTTGTGAATTTTGCACTGGAGATGTAGTTGTCAAAACGAGGGGAAGTTTTGTTATCTTCTGCATCTTAGAAGTCAAACACATGTGTTGTTATGGTGTCTGAGCATTTGATAACAGCCCAGTGGTTTTTGTCATTACCATCATCACATTACAGCTGAAGAAGTTACCATACCCTTGGGCATTGAGACATCTTGTATGAAAGAAGCTATCTGTAGCAGAGCCTGAAGGAAAATCCACAGAGAAGTGTTATCAGATGCACTTCTTCTATTGTCTGTGTTTCAACTCTGCAGAAGAACCACTTGTATTGTTAAATTAATGGTTTGCTCTAACTTGAATTCCTATTGACAGTGTCAGCCAAAATGATCTGTGCTGGATTAGCCTGAGGACTTGAATTTTATTCTTCTGTGTGAAGTCACCAGTTGCAGAAGGGCTCATTTTGCACAGGATGGTGGAAGACAGACTTGGGCGGTGACTTTGTGCTGTGTGACAGACCTGGCAGTTTGGGTGGTAGTGCAGCAATTAGTGGCTAAAAATGTAATGACTGTTTTGCCCAAACTTGCATGATTGCTTGTCCTTACTTCAAAGCTCAGTCTCAGCAAACAAGTAGAGGAGAATTCAATAATGTACAAGAAAGGTTACGGGCTCTGAAGAAAAGGCATATCATGAATAATTGTGGTTATTCTTTTCTAGGTCCTGTGTTTAATGTCTCGGTGCATTCTGACAATCTGACGATTTACCAAGGTGAACTGGCAGATTTGCTCTGTATCATCACAACAGATGGAATGACACTAGAGCCAGGTATTTTGACAAAAATATTTCCCTTGTAACTCAATTGCTTTGAGATGGAATACTAGCAGCTACAACACTGTGTCATTTGAGTGAAGCTGGAGAACTGAAAGCTAGCATTGAAAGTCCTACAGAACTAGATAAATAACAGGAGAGAGTATATGCTTTGCACAGCCAAGTTTAAAACAAATTTTGCATTTCACACTCTTGGTAGAAGGAAAAAAGTGTTCCTATTGCTAACTCTGCCCTTGTGCTGTCTGTACAACTGACACCAGTGCTGGCAGTCTCAGCCTACAGCCACTAGATGAGCGTGGGAACTGTTCCTGACTCCTTTAATATGTATCTTAAGGAGATACATTTGCAAAACCTTTACAGTCATAGCAGTCTTAAAATCATCTGATCAGTCAACTCAACGCTTCACAGTGTATTTAAGGCTTAATTTAAATCTAAAAGTCATAAAAACTGATTACTGCAGCCTCAATATGGATATAACGGATGTTAATTCCTATGGCCTTCAGAGGCAAGCCTTCTTTTTTGCATGGGAAGAAACACACAGTACCTAATTATTATGAAAAGGACAACAAGTACTTGAAAGGCAAACGTTTGTGAAGGGCTAAAAAGTTCAGAGAATTGCTCAAAACTTAGCTGCTTGCCCAACATTGCCTGAGCTGCTTTTCATCAAAATGCTGTGAGAGCAGCTCTGGTTACTGGACACGAAGTTTGAGTTTGGAATGAGCTTAGGTTTTTTTTATTTTAAGTAATGTTATGTATGCAAATATATGAAAAATGTTTAGAAAAAACCTAAATAAATATAAATATATAAAAATGTGTATGTATATCTCTAAAGATGCCATCATTCTTGGGAAACTTAGAAATCTGTGCACAAGCCACTTCACAAAAGGTGCTGTGTGGCAAATGTTACTTAGTGTAGTAGTTGATGAGATGAAGTACCAAGTTTAGTAAAGGTCCACCACTTTGAAATTGCACAATGTCTGTTCTATGTTAAATCTGAGTGTAACAGGGAGGCAATTTGTTAGATATGGTTCTCTGCTGCCTGTGAAAAAATGGTGGAAGTCTGTGGATGGTATTACTGAAATGTTTGGTAAGGAGCAAACGCTGACTAAACTTTATTGCTGTCAAAAGATTAACAGTGTGGGGTATTGGACAGTCTGCAGCATTGTACATCTGTATGTATGCCTCAGTTTCTGCTCAGCAGAATGCCTCATCTCAGTTGAGGTGTTCCCAAGCTCTTACAGGTATTGTTGCAGGGCAGGACCCCAAGCAGCTGGCTTCCTTTGCAGAGAGAGAAATAACTGCTAGCAGGGAGCTGCTGCTGCTTCTGCTGGTGTTCTACAGCTAAGATAAGCCTGGGGTTGCCTTGTGAAAGAGATCTCAGCATCTCCAACCAACTCAGAATTTGAAAAGAGGCCACGTACTAACAGTGGAGTTCTCCTATCAGAGCATTTGAGTTTGTGATGCTTTTGTGTGTGTTTGGTAGCTTGAGAAGGGGAGAAGCTCTGACGAGAAAGACGATCAAATGGACTGAAATTAAAAGATGGGCCTCTTCAAGGAGCTGCTGATCAGCAGAGTTAGGTTTAAACAGGGAAGTTCCATAAGGGAGTGTGAATGTCTGTTGAATCAATAGATGATACCTGTGTTTGGAAATGTTGCCCTTTTCACAGATCATGAGCAGCAAGTGCAGAGTTGTAAATGTCAGCACTGCAATCTGTTTCCTAGGTGGTTAATATTATCTGGAAAAGGCAGCTCTGCTCTGTGGTTGTTTTTTGGTTGTTGTTGTTAATGTTTTGGGGTTTTTTTGTGCGTGTTTTTGTGACTTATTTGTCTGTAATGGGGCGGATGAGGCACAAACAATGGATACCTACAGAAAGGAGTAAAAGAAGCGTGGTCTTGTGGCAAGTGTTGGGGGAACCTGTTGGTCTCAGCTCTGAGCCTCCAGTTGCAGAATGAGCAAGATTTGGGGTCTAGCCAGCCATACTCTGCATGTCTGTGTGGAAAAGTTCCACCTGGGCATTTCAGGTGGCCCTAAAAAGCTGATGCCTCTCCAGTCCTTGCTGGTCTTCTGGGTGAGACTGGCAGCAGAACTGCAGGAATCTATGCAGCAGCTGTAGGTTGTGCAGATTTCCCTTGTCATTCTGCATTCTTGACTTCAGGGTTGGAGAAGAATAGATAAGTGGGATAACTGAGCAGGTTAGGTAGAGAAGCTCCTTAAGGGTCATCTAGCAACACCCTGACATAACCACTTGACTTTTTTTCCACAACTATCTCATCTCTGATCTGAATCTGCACTGAGTAGGTATCACAATGTAGTTTATCATTCAAATGGAGAGTTTCCTTCTTAAATAAATGCCAAAATGTTAGACAGACTGAAAATAACAGCGCTGTTTCATCCCAGCAGGGAAAAGAGGTGTGGTGTTTGGAAAAGCCCACACCAGATAATAAGACAGGAAGAGCAAGAGTTGCTAGCATCTCCTAGAAGAAAATAGATGGCAGCCAAGGCCTTTCAGGTTGGGAACGTAAGAAAGGAGAGTAGAGCAATGGTCTGTGCACACTGCTATCCTGACTATGTTCTGTGGGTCTGGATTGTGATGGCTTTCAAGAAGTCTGCTCTTCTGGTGTTAGATCTGCCACAGCAGTGTATTTTGAGCAGAGAAGGATTGGAGAATTTCATAAGATCTTTTTGTTAAACGCACTTCCTGGACAATCTGAATGCATTTGGTATGCCAGCTGGCTCTGCTTTTGTACACAAGGCACTCAACTTTGCAAGCACGCGAGGGGATCAGTATGTATGCTTTGTATAGGAATATGAAGTGTTGGGTTTCATCTGTTTCCCCCCTTCATGTGTACAACCAGAAAAATAAAGTACTTTCAAGGAGCTGAGGACAAGCTAAATGGATGATGATCTTTATCACTCCCCTTCTCAGCTCCACTTGTTTCTAGTAGCGTTACTTACGAGTTGGTTCCTCCTCTAGTAGAGGCGATTTACCATTGTGTGTCTGTGAGTATGCACGCCCACCCTGTGGGAAACTTTCTAAAGGGTTGAAAAGGTTTTGGCTTGACTGCTACGTGGTTTAATTTCCTCTGCTTCTTTGAGACCCTGCTGAAGTGGAGTGTACATTACTGAGCTCAGTACGTGGCAGCAACCATTCCATCTAAAGAAGTGCTTCTTTGGCTTGGCAGCTGTAGCTGGTGTTTTGAATTGATACAAGGAGAGCATGCGTGTGTCAGGGGGGAATAGTAGTAGTACTTCTGTGCCCTCAAGGTATAAAAGCTGCTTCTGATGTTTCTGTTGAATACACATTTTCGCAAACGATCTCTCTAGACTTCCCAGATCACCCCTTCTTGGGCTGTGTGCATAGGGATTTTAAAGTGTTTCTTACTCTGTCTGAAAGAGGTGGGCTTTTTTCAGACTGCTCCAGACAGACGCAGTGGGCACTGGAGAATTTAACAAAACCAGCTTGTTTACCTCTTGTATGGTTTGAAGTGGTTCGCCTAGCTCTCTAGGAAGCTCTATTCAATCTCATTTAAATGTAGTAAACAAAAAGGGTCTCAAAATTGTGATTCAGCACTGTAACAAGATGCTGAGAGAGCTCCATTCTAAGTAGTGGAAGTGTATGGTTCCTAAGAGCTGGTCTAGAAATAGGATTCCCTGTTTCAAGGAGCGATTGGCCAGGGAAGCAGCTTAGCCCTGTGTGTCAAATCGAAATATGCATAAAGATGTGCTTTACATGTTGATGATCCTCACTAGCTGAGGAGGGGAAGAAGCATAGCACCACTATTTCTCTGCTTGCAGGGCCTCTGAAGCACCCGATTCCCAGACTCTGCCTTCCATTATGGAAGGAGTTGAGTAGCAAGAGCTGCTGCTGACACTGAGGTTCTCAGTTGCCTTCTGAATGATGACTTCCCAGTGCCAAACTCTCTCTAGTGCATGGGCACTTACTGTCCTTACTGGTGGAAGAAAGCTTTGCAGTGTTGACCATGTGTGTGATTCCAGTGGGTGTGTTTTGATTTTTGTAGCCTGAGGACAAAAACTGAGTGGCTTGTCACCATACAAGGGGTGTGTGGGGTTCTACAGATGCTTTTGGGAAGCCTTGCATGTGGCCCGTTTTACGTCAGTAATATCACATATTTGTTAGCACTTGGGAGCTGCTTGGAATGTTCATCACTGAGCTGCAGAGAGCGCTTGATTCATGTCCTTGTTTTGCTAAATTTGAGAAATGTGAGAGATACAGAAAGGAATCAGATGACTTTGCTGTATGAAGCTAGTTCAGGGAGGATAGTGACAAAGAGTTCTCGGAGCCAAATCCTCCCTCTGACTGTTTGCAGTGAGTCACTAATTGCACGCTGTGTATACTGACTAATAAAATATGTTGGCATAATAGTTGTCCCATGTTGTAATTATGGAAGATAGATTCAGCTATTTCAAAACGACAGCAAATGCTTGCATTCCCCTTTGCATGTTGAGGGAAGAGAACCTCAAATTACTGACTGAAAGAAGTAGCCTGGACATCTGAAAGCTATTGTTTTTTTCCACCTAACTTATTGTTGAAATCCATTTTAGCAAATGCAATTGTGTAATTGTGCAGTTGGACTCAGACTGGAAGGTATCCATGTGTTCCATACCTGAAAACACAGAGCAAATGGCAGTTTTGATAAACTTCCCAAGGAATTGGTCATTCCCAATACGACTGCCTGTGGGCCAGTGTTACTGCCTTATTTGGCATAAACAGGCAGCAGAGGAGAAGGGTAGTTTATAGAAACAGAGCTCTCAAGTAGAGGCCCTGCTTCCCATAGATAGTTGCATGAGTATACATTGCAGAGGTCAAAGCTTGGTGCTTTAATTGGGTGTGTTTGTGCAGTGATTTGTATTAGCTCTGCTTTAAAGAGAGGGGATCAGAATAGTATGCCAAGTAACAAAGAGTGTGATAGAAAAGTCTGATTGCTGTGCAGGCTGCTGGTCTGTATGCTGGTCTGACCTAGGCACACCTTGCATGGGACCAGAAAACCTCACCCTGCTGTAGGTTTGCAAGTGTAGGGTCTGCAGTGTTGTCACTCATAGCAGCTGACCATGAAGCAGGGTTACTAAACTAGCTGCTGTCCCAAAACTGTTTGGTCAGCCAGTGTCCCTTGTACTAACAGAGTGCTTACATCTGCTTTCTCGTATTTTTGTTTTGTTTTCCAGGATGTGTGTAAAAATAGCACACCTTACTGGGGTTAATGATATCCCAGACAGCAGCTGGTTTTTTTCTACAGTAAGGAAGAATGAAGCACCTGGCCAGCTGATGCTGTACATCAAATAGCAGAGCTGAGGATGTCCCTGTCTTTATAAGATTATTCTAAGGTTCTCTATCTTCTAGGAGTGCCAGCTTGCCTGATAAAGGCTTAAAAATGGTCTTTACTCATATCTACAAAGAATTTAAGTAAAGCTGTAGGTTTGGGGCTTAGGAGAAAGATCAGTTCTACATTTCAGATTGCTAATACTGTATTTTTCAGAGATCTCACTGCCAGCAAGTGGAGTTTGATATATATGCTCAAAATAAAAGGAACTATCCTAGGTGTGAGAAGACGTCACAAACTCAGGGTAAAAATAGTAACCTCTGTTTCCAGTGAGCTCCAGTCAGCTTGTTAATGTGCCAGGAAGGGGGAACTGTTGATGAGCCAAGTGAGTGGGCATCTAAAGCCTTTTCCTGTCTATGCTATAGGTCATGTCAGGTTTCAGGCTCAGGTATTGTTGAGTTCACGTTAGCAAAACGTAATGGTGATTTATCAAATAGATACTCAGCTACAGCAGCCTAATAGGGCTAAGATTGTGATCCCCTGATGTGATAAGTAAGATCTTGCACAAAGGTAAAAGGAGCTAAATGTACTCATATGGAAGGTGCTGCAAATTGTTTGTGTAGATTGTCTCCTTGGATAATGTACCAAGGCATGATGTGTGATCATCCATGACAGTAACTGACAATTGTGGAAAAAGCGTATAAAAGCATTGTGGTCAGGCTTTGCTCTGGAATATTTTTGCAGAGCAAAATAATTTTTTTTTTCTCCTTTTTGTTGGATCTCTTTATTTATTTAGGCAGACTAAATGTGAAGCAGGAGCTTTAAGAACGAGCCCTCTGACTTTGTAGTTGTATAGGTGCTGCATGAAGGTGGTGATGGAAATCACTCTCCGCTAGTAAATACCTTCTACTGTCACTTCCTTTTCAGTGTAGGTTGAACATAGTTACAACGCTTCTCATGACACCAGGCCTGCCTGCTGATTACTTAGGATAGTAGGCAGGAAAGCAAGAGTTGGTTGTAGTGCAGTGTTGGTTACAATGCTTGCAGATCAACCTTTCTTCTTTTTTTTCCTGCAAATGCAGATGATATGTCCTTTGATGTCTCCTGGTTTGCTGTGCGCTCCTTTGCGTTGGACAGAGAGCCCGTCTTGCTGGCCTCGGTGGACCGGAGAGGGATCGTGACACAGAGCAGGAGAAATGGGAGCAGTGATCTGAGCCTGGAGAGAATCAGCCCACTGGAATTCCGTCTCCGCATTCACAGCTGTGAGGATCACGACTTTGGGAACCACTACTGCGTAGTCACCCCGTGGGTACGCTCTGCCACTGGTGCATGGCAACGGGAACCTGACATCAAAGCCAAACCCATCTTTCTATCTGTGAAAATGGATGGTAAGACCAATATTGCAGTTTCTATTGTGGGATTTTTAACACCTTATTATGTTTTTTGTAGCAAGTACTCTCTATCACACATACTTTTAAAAACATTGATAATCTAAATAGACATTACTATCCTTCTTTTGTTTGCAACTTCTAATTCTAGCTTCTGTGGATTAGTTAGGTCTGAACAGGTTATATTATGAAATGTTCTTTTCCCTCATGTCTTGGTAACGTTTTGCATAGCTAGGGAGTCTTTTAATCAAGACTTAGCAGTTCTCTCCAAGTGTTAATCCTTGTTCTTCCTACAGGAGGAAGCCTTGACTTGCAACTTCACTGTGCTGAAGTAGGGTCATACTGTGGTTAATATCAAAGTGGGGCATGACACATCAGAGCTCTGTCTCCTTCCTCCCTCTCCTAACCACAAGACGTGCTACTCACTGCACTTAGTGCCTTATTTGCTCTGCAACCTGAGTTGGAAGCATTGCTGTATTTCATGAGAAGCTAGATGTGTGCTAGATATTGCATTCAGTACATAGCTGAGAAGGGAGATGAACATAGGAGGGATTTTGAACTGCTTTCTTCTCAGCATTTCCATGAAGAGTCACGTTGAGAAATTCCATGAACTTGAATCAGAAGATCTTATTATTCCCACTGTTTTATTACAACTGTACTTTCCAAGCTCTGTCTGTTCCTTGACCCTGCGTTTTAACTGTGCAGTAGGTGCCTACCAACTAAGCCAGCCTTGGAGGTTTATCTGGTAGGGCTGAGTGACAGGGAGTGTACTGTACCAATAGTTCTAATCAAGCAAAGTGTAAAGGAGCCTACTACTTGCTGTTTAGAAACAGTCATATAAAGAAGATTGTAGGCACAGTCTGCCTCTGAATAGAGAACCTTTGGAAGGCATTTGTTTGGAGAAACGGATATTGGGATATCCCTTGGAACTACCTTCCTTTTGCTTTCTTGCTCCAAGATTTCTCATGTTTCCAGCCTCCCTGAAGCTTGGAAATGGTAGAGGAAGAAATGAGGTGAAGTGGTCAGGGAGTCTGGTAAGACACCAGTATTCCAAACTTCAAAAAACAGAAATCAAGGAGGAAAAATAATTTAACTTCCTTCTGAAAGAAGTAATCTGCCTGTGACAGAAAGATGTGTGATTTCCCCCTTCCCTTCCCCACCCTCCTTTTAGGTAAGAAAAATAATGCAGATCTTCAAATTTCTCAGTAATATGTAATGACTTGGTCTTCCTTCTTTTTTTTTTTTTTTTTTTTCAGTTCTGAATGCTTTCAAGTATCCCCTATTGATTGGCATTGGTCTGGCCACTGTCATTGGACTCTTATCCTGCCTCATTGGCTACTGCACCTCCCGTTGGTGCTGCAAGAAGGAAGTACAGGAAACAAGACGAGAGCGTCGCCGGCTGATGTCGATGGAGATGGACTGAGTATGGGAGCCAGGCACACTTGCGTTTTGGGAGAGACTCACAGGGCTCTTGGACTGTGCTGAGACACTCATTCACAGGCCCAGACGAGACAGGGCTTTTCCTCTCTGTTTTCAGCCTGGACCTCAAGCTCCTCCTTGTTACACTTTGTGTCCTGAGAGCTTTCAGGCCATATCTAGTGACTCAGAGTTCTCCTTTGTCCAGCAGCACTTTCTACGTAGAGATCATGTCCTTCTAATTTACAAACTGTTGAGCCTGCTTTCAGCAGGGCCCTGTGACAAAAATTCACTATGTGTTTTTTGTTTTTATTTTATTTTATTTTATTTTTTTTTTGCCCCTCTTGGTTTTGAAAAGATCTTCCACTATGAAAACATGTTGAGGAGTGTGGTGTGCAGGAAGGGACTGGTGAAATCGTTAGACTTTAATTGTATTAACCAATCTACTCTTCCCCTCTACCCCCACTGCAGCATTCTGTCCACTTTTTCTCTCTGCCTTGATATCTCAGACTTCTTTGTATTGCTTGAAGGCTGGAGAAGGGTATTCCACTGGAGTCTCAAGAGGCTGTTCCAGAAAATAATTGATTTTTGGCTGTCAGCGTACCTTCTCTTCTCCACCTTTCAAAGAATTTACAATTAATCTGAAAACAAAATTTGCCTGGAGGTCTTTGAGATGCTCTTCTTAAGGTTTTATTGGTTTGGGTTTTTTTTCCCTAATTTTCAGTGCTCAAAGCTCTTATCCGTGGTGAACAGGGGCTAACTTAGCAACCCTGAAGAGTCAATCCTCAGACAAGCGTTTGTTGGATGGCTGCTTGCAGTCACCTTCTCCCCAACCCTTCTACCTTCTTTTCTCCCCACTACAGCTGCTCACGACGTGCCTCAAACACTGTTCTGCTTGTGGCAGGGGGGCAACATGGTGTCAAGAGGCAAGGCCCAGCCCTTGTTGGCCTTGTCAGAGAGGTAGAAAACCTTGCACTACTGATGCAGTGTGATTCATGAAAAAAATGAGATGGATCTTTTTGTGCAGTGGACCAACTGATCACATTTGGAGACCTGTAAACTGTTACCAAGTACACAGACCAGATTCCAGCACTACTTCTGCCAGTTGCTCAGGGTAGGAATATGAGCAAGCCCAAGAAGGCAGCAAAAACCCTTCAGGTTCCCATGATCCTGGTCTTGTTGCATAGCCTGCAGTGAGGATTTCTCCAAGAGGTTGAGTATCGTGAGTCCTGCTTTGGTCTTCCACTTTCACTGACCTGGCTCCTGGTGGGGAGCAACTTCTTTTCCAGGCAGTTCTGTCTTTCCAGCACAGCTGGTGTTCTAAGCAATAAAAGTCAGAATAAAGGTACTGTGTATAAGGAGGTAGGACTGTACTACAACCAGACATCACAGTGAGGGTGTAGCTTGCATCAGGAAGAGTGGGAAATGTGGATAAGGCTAGGGATCAATTCCTTACTGATGGATTTTTTTTTTAATTATTGTTATTTTTTTTTAGGATAAAATGAAAGATGTTGGAGGATGGCATCCACAGAAAGCAGTGGTTGTGGTATGCCAATCTAGACACTAGCTATGTACTAGACAATCATTGTCACTAGTAGCTCATTCCAGTATATATACCTGGGGAGCTGCAGGTCTAATATCTGTGCTACAATGACCTCAGTTCACATTAGTTTGTGAAACCTTTAACTGAACCACTCAACACTGCTGCTATTCCAAGACTATTGCAGTAAGATTGATGTTGTTTTTTTTGTGTCTTCTGTGATGACCTTTTTTTGAGGTTGGTGTGAAGGTTTTTCTAGAAGGCTGTCTTCTGCCTCCAGCATGTGAACGTGCATGCAGTCACATTGTAGGTGGGTTAACTTTGGCTTTGTATACATACACACACAGGTATCTAATGATTTTTGGGAGCTGAATGTGAGACATCTTTAACGTGAACTTGATTTGCAGAGATGAGGCTTGCAACTCATTATTTCACTGCTTGATATTTCATGTGGATTTCCAAAGCTGTGACACCTATGAACTTCTAGAGGACTTTGACCAAAACATTTATGGCAGTTTCTTTTTCTGGCCCAGTGTTTTGTTTTGTTTTTTTCTCTTGAAGAGCTCTGAAAGGGCCTGTGTTGCAGACAGATGTTGCTGCCTCTGTTGAGGAATGAGGCAGAAGCAGTCTCCCCTCCACTGTGACAGCCCAAAAATCTTTAGGGATGCTTTCCAAAGAAAGGATGTTGAAGAAATAATTTACTCATATCACTTTTGACAGTAACATTTTTCTTCTTCTCACTCCTGGCTACTGTAGTGAAATCTTTCTTTTCCTTGGCCATTATGGAACACCATACGGACGTCTGGGATGCTGGCTGTCCTTCCCGCACTCATCTAAGTAGCTTCTTCCCTGCATTAACATCTGCTTTCTTCACAGAAGGCTTGTGGAATCAGGGCGTCTTGGTTTTGGGGGCTGGTAGTGATGGTGAAGTTCAAAGCACAGCATCAGTCGCTTGCTGTCCTAGCAGACTTGCTGTCCTAGCAGGCTGACTCCTTGTTTATATGCTCTTGCTTAAGTTTTAGGGAAAGAGGGTCATGATTGTAATGCAATAATTAGGGAATGAGTGAGCAGGGACCTGACAGTTCTTCCCAAGCACACAACGTAGCACACTTTTATCCCTGCTGGAAAAAACTCAGGGTTATTTTGGTCAGGGCTCCCTGCTTCTACTGTGGAAGGTCTCTGTGTCCTCAGCCAATGCTGACCTTCCTTCATGGCCGGTAACAATCCTTGTCATTCCAAGTGAAGCAAGTTCCCTACTAGCTCATACTGCTGCCAGCCCCTTGGAAGGCAATGCTGCATCCCCTTACACTCTGTATTTGCTGTAGTTGGAAGGCTAGAAGCTGAGGGGCGAGGCTTACCCCACAGGTTTCCTTCTACTTGTGCCAATTTTGTATTATCCCTTTTTTTAAAATAGAGTGGGAATCTTGTCTCCAATGAAAAAAGAAAAAAAAAAAAAAAAAAAGATTTTTGGTCACTTTCATGTTTTTTATTATTGTTTCCTGTGTGAGTGATGGTGTGCGTGCACCTGATTGTGTATTAAACCTGCAAAGTATCAGGAGAGTAAGCTGCCTGAGATGCATTGCAAGCATCCATATCCTCTCAGCTGCAACCTGTGGTATTGTCTAAGTATCCTAAGGGCTCGTGTTGATATTCCTCTGTTCAAATTGCCACATCTCCTGGGTAAGCCGGTAAATTCCTCCAGGCACTTGGAATTCAATCCAGAACAAGCTTGAGCATATAGCAGAAAGGCAAGATGTTTGCTTTCTTTTTTTTTTTATTTCAAAGTTACAAAACGAAGTGTTTGGCACAGTTCTGGAATGCAGGTACCCAATAGTTCTAACAATGCTGTGTAAAATGTTTCTTTTTATGTTCAAAATAAAGAACCTTTTTGATTAAGCCTGTGCTGTGGGCTTGGCCTGAATGTTTATACTGTGGGCAGTTCTCTCCTCGTACCTTTGCGTGTACACAGATTCTATTGTTACTGAAAGGGTATCTAATGTAAATCTTACCAGTCCCATTTCCAGCACTGGTCACCCTGCTAGGTGAGCGTCAGCACTATTTTACAGTAAGTTTAAAATATTTGCTTACATTTGTGTGATGAATGGGGAAACGTAATGGTTTTCTGAATCCATTCTGTTTCTACCCTGTCATAAGTCAACATTTTTGCAGAAGGGATGAGGCATCCGAAATATGATGGGTTTGGCCTGGTTTCTCCCATGCGGCTGCTTGCTGTGATTACACAAATGCTGCCAATCATCAGTGAGTTCCAGTAAAGCAACCTTTGTGAATGTCGTACCTCATGTGAAGCAAAGTCTTTTCCAAAGGTAACTGTGATGGGATTCATCTTTCAACACTCTGCCCAGCCACCCTGGACTTGAAAAATAGGAATTTCAAGAATCCAATTTGTGACTTACTTGCAACATACATTTTAAAGGAACAAGGATCTGAAAGTACCCGTTTCTCACTGTGAGTTGTAAAGGATAGTACAGATCACCTTAGATATGAGAATTAGGAGAGATAAGTGTGCAATAATTGGCCGGGCAAGTAAGAGGAGTGAGGTAATAGCAGCTCTCTCTAGTGATGGGACAGGAAAAGAGGGAGGAAGCCGCAGCAGATAGCTGTAGTCGTTAATTCAACCAAGGTGTGGTCAGTGTGTCCTCATGCTCTTTGTAACATTCTTCTGTTTGTAGAAATAGTTCCAGGATGGATTTTAGGCTTGGTTTTTTTCTTGTTGTTTTTGTTCTTGAGTGTATAGCATCTCTGTATTTGCATGAGAATAGTCATTGCATTACAGATGGATCTAATTTGCTCTATTTATATTTATATCCTTATTTATATCCTTATCCAGGCTCTTAATCTTCAGCCATGCAGTTTTCCAGCCATGTGGCTCCTCAAGTCCCATACTGAGCTCCGTGGTGTGCCGTGTATTGAAGTATCTGCTTCCTCAAAAGCTGTGTCTTCTAGCAGCTGTACTAATAGTGAGTGACAAGCCTTCACAAAGTATTTACTTGGTATAAAATCACTGACATAAGGTGAGTCTTTCAGCAATGGAAAGGATAATGTCTTTCTACTTTGGTTGTTTCTCCTTCCTTCCCAGAAGCAGTCTTTCCTAGCTCTGCTTTCTATTACTGTCCACATTATTTTCTTCTCTCCCCAGCAAACCCTTCTCTTCACTCTGAAATTTGTCTCTGATGTTTCAGGGAGAGCTCCTTCAGAAGCCGAGCTCTGAATTCCTAGCCCAGCAGAAATGTATGTTTTCTTTAGAAATACAATATTTGAGGTCCTTTTGAAGCTGATGGCTTTGTCTGCAGCCTTCAAGGTGCGTGCTGAGTTGTCCTTACCTGGTACTGTTATCTTTTTCTCCTGTCTCCACAGTTCCCTGTAATCATCCAGAAATATCTTTTGTTAATCATTATTCATTTATTTCTCCTTCCTTGACCTGACTGCATACCGTGTTAACAAGATGGCTCTCAGGACTCATGCACAGGGCATTGCTGTCCTTAAACCTGCCTTGTCTTTTCCCATACCGATTGCCACCACTTCCCACTTGATGAGGCCTCTGAGACATTCTCCAAGGCTGTGAGAGCAGTGTGGGAGCTACTGCATGATCCTCAGGTGAAGGGTGTCTGTCACCTACACCATGTTCTGCTTTTTTCTTGGGATCTTGGTGCAGTGAGAGCAGCATTGAGTGAACATTGTGTTCACAGTCCAGAACGCTCTACCCAAACTTATGCCCCTCACTGCAAGAAAGACACTAAGGCCCTGGAGAGTGCCCACAGAAGGGCAGTGAAGCTGTGGAAGATCTGGAACACAAATCTTATGAGGAACAGCTGAGGGAACTAGGATTCTTCAGTCTGGAGAAGAGGAGGCTCAGGGGCCTGAAAGGAGGCTGTGGTGAGTTAGGGGTTGAAAGCAGCTGGGAGGTTCCCAGGTAACAGCAATAGGATAAAAGCAAATAGGATGAGCAATAGGATGAGGTCTCAAGTTGTGCCAGGGGATGTTCAGGTTGGATATCAGGAAACATTTCTTCTCAGAGTGGTGAGGCACTGGAACAGGCTGCCTTGAGAGGTGGTGAAGTCACCGTCCCTGGAGGTGTTCAAGAAATGCTAGGTGATGTACCAAGGGACATGATGTAGTCGGGAGACATTGGTGATAGGTGGATGGTTGTACTGGATGATCTTGGAGGTCTTTTCCAGCTTTGGTGATGCTGTGATTCTGTGAAGGTGAGAAGGTGGCAGCTGTGAGCAGAGCATCTATTGGTTTGCCAGGAGCAGATCTCTGGTAGCTAAGCCTATGCAGACTGTTGACATGTTAACATGATCTTCTAAATCCAAGTCCCACTCATCAGGCTCCAAACCGAATTCCTTTGGACACCTGAGTGTGTGAACTTGGACAGAAGCCTTATATTGTTGGATGACGGCTCCTTTAGGAACTTCAGGAGGAACTGAAATTTTGGGCTTTCAAAAAGAGCAGCTCTGTCTCTGTTATTGGACAATATGAAATCGCTGCTTTTCCCCGTGATCTTGTAGGAATGAAAGAGAGAAAGATTTTTCTGGTGAATGAGTTGTGAATAAAGCTAAGGCTTTGATGCTGGATGAGCTGAAAATGTTATTCTGTCATTGCTACCTTGCTGCATTGCTTTGGGGTCATATCTGTGTGCCACTTGCACGTTGTTCTTAGTGTAGGGACGGCTGCAGTGGTGAAATGCATGCTTTGTGCATCCTGTAGTCAGGCCTGCTAAGAGAGCAGCTCCCTGCTGCAGCCACTGATGAAGCAAGTTTTGGCAGTTGGAGTTTATCATTTTTCTCAGCTTACGTGTATTTAACAATTGGCTGCAGCAATGGCTGTTTAATTCCCTTGCTAACGTTTCCAGGGCAGCCATTTAATTTTTTTTTAAAACCCTCTTGCTTCTGGAAATCCTGTAATCAAATCCAAGCTCTGTCAATCTAATTAGTTTTGAAGTGCAGCATCTCCATAACTCGGAGACCTAAATAAGCAGCTTAGTATTAAAACCTAGTTTCTCTCCCCATGTTATGCTGCCTTATATTCCCCAGGAGAAGTTCCCACCAAACAACAGTCATTGTGACTGCTCCCCCTGTTCTCATTAAAGTCAGAAAAGGCAACTAAGGCCACCCAGTCCAACCACCAATCTGTGCCCACTGACCATGTCCCTCAGTGCCACATCTGCACAGTTTGCTTGCTTAGAAGATGCTGATGCACAGAGAGGTCTGGGGCAGCGTGTAGCTTTGTGCTGCTTGCTGAGGGCTGCCCAAGCAGCTGGGGAGCTGCAGAGTTGGTGGTGTCATGGCAGCAGAGCGGTAGCACCTCGGTGCAAAGCAGCCTCCAGCCCTGACTGAGGGGAAGGGCTGGATATGGAGACAGTGAGTACTGGAATGAAGGTCCGGGTGAAGTGCTGCTGCAGCCCTTTGTCACCTTGTCTACAGTAGAAACTGTGCGATTGGGAGCGAACCTCAGCTCACCAAAACAGAGTTGCGGGTGCCTTCCTCCCAAAGCAGCCCCTGTTGCTTGCTGCTTAGAGAAGCTGGTGTCCTAGGGAAGTGGTTGCAACCTTCTGTGCTTTGGCCAGACTCTCCCTGCTTAGGGACTGCCTAGGGCTGGCCGTGTGGCTCACTGGTGCATCAGAGTAGAGATCCTCATCCACTGGCATTATACTCACCTCTACAAGCTGTGGGTGCAATCCCATGTAGCTCCCAGCAATGTTGAGTCTGGTTCCAGTCAGAGCCAGCATGTTTGGCATTTGTACTCCATTAGGAGGCTTGTGCCCAGGGGATGGGGACTGAGCTGGCAGCCATGGGGAAGCTGTCTGCCTCCAGCTCCATACTGAGGGATGTAACCAGCTGCCTTTGATGTCTGAGCCAGGCTGAGAAAACCTGACAGCAGACTTCAAAGTCTGTTGTGCCAGCTCCTCCATTATCTGAAGACTTCTGCCACATCCCCCAGGACTGCTGGATTATCCTGGCTAATTCCACACTGCATCCCCTGTCTCTGCCTGGCTCCAACCCTTTGTGTTCATGGCTGTCCTTTCTGAATTTCTCTGGGGATGTGACAATGGGATTTTTTGGCAGGGACGTTTTTGGAAAGCTTGCCTGCAGAGTACAGAGGGCAGGTACTTGCTGGGTCCAACAGATGTGATCCCAAAGACATTTCTCAACTGCTGTTGGGCCTGTCTGGGTAGTCTGTCTTTGCTCTGGCTGAACAATGTGGAATGTGCAAAGGCAAATAGGGTGCAGGAGGAGGGAAAGTCATAGGGAATCACTAAGGTTGGAAAAGACCTCTAAAATTATGTAGTCCACCTGTCAATCCATCACAACCATGCACATGAGGGGGTGTAATTCAGGGCAGTCATTGCCACATTAGAGCCAAAGCCAGCTCTGTGGGCACGCTTGGCCCCACCTGAAGCAGAACATGGCTGTGCCCTGCCATATACGCTGGGAAGTGGCCCTGCCACCAGGTCTGACTGCACTGGTGAGGTTTCTGTTGGCAGTGTATCTCTATAAAGGATACTCTGCTGATCTTCCTTTAGCCAACCCAACATGCCTATTGCTGCTGCCGCACACTTGGTTGTGCTGATTTCCCAGGGAGGGAGTGAGGAAGCTTCAGACTGTGCAGTCCTGGGAAGAGGGAGCTGTTGTTTTTGTCTGCAGAGCATCGTCATTGCCCGTGATGGGGCTGGGCAAGGCAATCCTATTCTCCCTAGTTTCTCTACTGCGAATGTAAACAGTGGTTCATGCGTCATTAGCTGCAAGCTTGGACTGAAACTGTCCCCGTGTGTGCGTTTATCTGCACACTGACTGCAGGAAGTTTGCCAAGGTTGGGCTCCAAATCTGATTTTCTTCTGTCACTGTGGCAGAGAAGCTTTTGTCTCCACCGAGGGGATGTGTGGGCTGGCTTGCCGTCAACAGGGCCACCCCCATAAACCTCTCAGTGGGCTGCTCTCAGAGCCAACCTCCTTCCTGTCTCTGAGGCAGTGCTGGTTTCAGCACCGTGCCCCTCTGCTCTGCTGCATTGCAACATTTGGTGGCAGGGGACAGGTGAGATCCGATGGGACCTCTCCAACAGCCCGTCCCTGCGCGCTGAGCTTGGCTCTCTGCATGTGTGGTGCTGATGTGCAGTCAGCAGTCTGTGCTTCTGTCTCCTGGCCCCATGAGCTGTCATGTGAATCAGTTTCTGAAATGGGGCAAGGAGGGACCTCATGTTTGTTTTGGTTTGTTACATGAATCTCATTCCCTCTGGGAGCCCAGTGGGATCAAGCAGAATTGCTTGTTTGTTTTACAGCTGCTTTTTGCTTGTGAATCCCTGAGCCAATTTAGCAGTTCATTCGATACCTCAGCAGGCTGCAGGAGCAGCACAGCTCAGAAGCCACCTTCACACCGCTTTTCTTCCTGTAAAAACCGAATCAATCTTTTCAGAGAGAGCCTCCAGCTTCAGTTCTTCACCTTTGGCTGCTCCCTATCTGGGTCATGCCCTGCCAGCCTCCTCCGGTCCCAGCACATGCACTGTGCAGTGGGCCATGTGGTGCTGGCAGTAGGATGCTACCTGTGCACAGGTGCTGGGATGCACCCATGGTGTCTGCCTTTACTGCAGAGGAGAGAGTAAGCTGCTTAGTATAACAGAGCAGGAGGCAGAGGGTTGGTCAAGCAAGGGGGCCAGCATCTTGCTCTGCCACACAGTGTGCTGTGTGTGAGCTGCTGCAAGACAGGAATGGGCTCAAGTTGTGCCAGTGGAGGTTCAGGTTGGATATTAGGAGAAATTTCTTCTCAGAAGGAGTGGTGAGGCAGTAGCACAGGCTGCCCAGGGAGGTGGTGGCATCACCGTTCCTGGAGATGTTCAAGAACCATGTGGATGTGGCACTGAGGGACGTGGTTAGTGGGCATGTATAAGTCTGTGGCTGACAGCCACCTTGGTGAGATGCAGGACGTTGGTGACGTGCTCTGTTCCCCACTTCTCCCCGCCTTTTTCTCTAAGCAGAGGAAACCGCTGCCGGAGTCTGGCAGCTTCCTCCCAGCTGCTTTCAAAATTACAGGGTGGCTGTCACCATCATCCTGAGTGCCTTTCGATGCCTTCCTAGGGAAGGACTGTAGCAGATCTTGTTCGCATGGGGCTGGTAGAGCATCAGGTGGCTGCCTTCCTCCTTTTCCTTCTCACGGGTGAGTGCACTGTGACAAGGACTTTTGGAGCGGATAAGTGGGAAGTAAAACTGTCAGGAACCCTGTGTGGGTTACGTGTGCAGGCTACTTCTTCTGGGCTGCTTTATATTCCTAAATCGGGGGGACAGGACGCTCCTGGGTGGGTGGCCCAAGAGTGCACCTCACTTGGTCTACAGGGTGAGGGCAGCCCCAGTGCTGTTGGGCTCAGAGCCATGGAAGCTGAAAGGGAGGGGAGGGTGTGCAGATGACCATTTCCTCCCCAGCTCTACTCTGTAAGCCCTCTGCAGGTTCCTGGTGCCTCTTGAGGTGTTTCCTGCCTCTGGAGGTGCTCTTGCTGGCTCCTCCTCTACCTCTGTGAGGCACTTCTGAGGTCACGTCCCTTTCTCCAGCAGCAATTAGCTCTGGTTCCTGCTTCTTTCCCTCCGGCCTGCACTGAACCTGAGAGTTTGGTCCTCTTCAGCACACTACGGGCTTCCTCCAGTGGTTTTATCCTGGTTGCTGCTCCATCTGAGCACTGTCTGGGAAATGCTTTCCAAGCAGAAACTTGATGACCACATGGCCATGGTGCTCTGGCCTTTTTTTTCTGACCTTGCTTTCTGGAAGACAAGTTTTCAAGTTTGTTGGCATTGGGCTTGTTCTTAACAATTGCAGGGGATGCTGAAATTCCTTGCAGTTTTTGCACCAGGGAGGTTCAGGTTGGGTATCAGGAAAAACTTCTTCAAAAGTGTGATGAGGCATTGAAACGGGCTGCCCAGGGAGGTGGTAGAGTTACCATCACTGAAGGTGTTCAAGAGCATGTGCATGTGGCTCTGAGGGAGGTGGTTAGTAGGCAATACTTGGTGGTAGGTGGATGGTTGGACTGAGTGATCTTAGAAGTCCTTTCCAGCCTTAATGATTCGATGCTTCTTAGTCCTAGGGGCATTGTTCTTCATAGAATGAGACCACACCCTAAGTCATTGCAGTATTATGCTACAGTCTCATTGCCATTTTGAACTGCAATAATTTTCATTTGCAGTATTCTCCTGCAAACTTCACGCATGGTGTCTGTCTGCTGGCAGGTGTGGGCGCTGGCCAAAGAGTAGTGACTGTCCAAAAGGGACCACTTTACCGTGTACTTGGCTCCCATGTGACATTGTGGTGCAAGGTGAGCGGCTACCAGGGCCCAGCAGAGCAGACCTTCCAGTGGTCCACCTACCCGCACACTGCCCCAGAGCGGGAGGTGCAGATCGTCAGCACCGCCGACCCCTCCTTCCCCTACGCCATCTACACCCAGCGGGTGCGCGCCCAGGAGATCTACGTGGAGCGGGTGCAGGGGGACGCGGTGCTGCTGCACATCACGGAGCTGCAGGACCGAGATGCTGGGGAGTACGAGTGCCACACGCCCAACACCGACGAGAGGTACTTTGGGAGCTACAGTGCCAAGACAAACCTGACAGGTGGGTCTCGAAGGACGGCTTGCTCTGTGGGGCCTGGCTGATTTTCCATTTTCTTACTGGTAGCGTCAAGGTGATGGTAAAGCTACCAGGGAGGATGTGCTGTTCTGTACGCAGCGGCACGAGGGTGCGTATGGGTCTCAAGCTTGTATGGATGCAGACAGGTTTCCCACTGCAGATGGGGAGATGTGTTCATCAGCAGTCTGTGGCACATAGTCTGCTGTGCCTTAGCCCAACAGCCACATCCCAGCACTTACGAGAGAAGGAGTTCTCAGTCTCTGAGCACTACCTGTTGGTATCTTCTCAGGTCAGGAGATGGGTCTTGAACAGACGTATACCCACATACTAATGATGACAGGGAGACAACAGAGTGGAGAACTAAAGAAAAATATCCAACTGTAAGCTCACTAAGTCCACATGGCCCATCTACTTCATATTCAACCTTGTGTCCTCCTTTAACCTGGTACTGTGGCCACTTGGGCTCATGAAAGGCTGGATGTTAGCCTCCTTGGGGTTGCCCAGGGCTGCCCACACTTTCACTGAGGAGCGTACTGCTGAGAAATATACCATGCTTTCTTTTCTACTGAGGTTTTAAGCACTTCACACATTGATATGGGCTGACTGGGGCCTCTCCCATCACATGCAGCACCTACTTCCACTGCACTGTCACATTTCTCAGAGCCTGGCTGTGCTTCTTACACTGACCAACACATTGCCCACTGAGGCCAAGAAATGCTTTTTCTCCTGACCAGCTGTTCTGTGCTTCTCCCCTTGTGCTCAGTAATTGCAGATACCCTCTCAGTTTCCATGGGACCCAAGAACCTCACCCATGCTGAGGGAGATGCCATGGAGCTCACCTGCCTGGTGTCCAGGTCCACCGCCCAGCACACACACCTCTCTGTTGGCTGGTACTGCCTCCGGGGAGAGCACCGGGCTGAGATCCTCACCCTCTCCAAGGACTTTGTCGTGATGCCAGGACCCGCTTATGCACAGAGGTTTTTGGCAGGGAATGTGCGGTTGGACAAGGTTGGGAGCACCTCGTACAAACTCTCCATTGTGGCGGTGGAGCCCTCTGACCAGGGGCAGCTGTACTGTGAGGCAGCCGAGTGGATCGAGGATCCTGACGGGACGTGGAAGGACATTTCCCGCAAACAGTCAGAGAGGACATCGCTGGTGGTCACTCCCCAGGGTAAGGCCCTTGGCTTCAGCTGCTTTGTGCAGCAAAGGACCTACCGTGGGTGGTCTCTGCAGTAGTGTGTTGTGGAAATCTCTCCCCATGCTATAGTCTCTGATGCTTTGTTTTCTCCTATCTGACCTCCACCACAGCTTGGGACATCCCACTGGCTTTCTTTGGGTGTGCCAGCTGGGCATCAAGAAGGACACAGTGTCGCTGGGGCCTGTGTTAGATATGGAAGCGTGTGAAGCCCAGGGCAAAATGCCTGCCCCCTTCAGTGTCTGTCCCTCCCCACAGCAGGGTCTTGCTGGGACCTGTGCTAAGTGGAGAAGAGGCCTCGTGTCCCTGGTCAGCAGTGGCATGACTGTGTATAGCTGCGGGTACTGGTTCCACACTGCCATTTAGAAATAAGGAAACCCTATGGAAGGCAGTATTCTTTACACAGAGGGTGGTGAGGAACAAGCTGCCCGCAGAAGCTTGGATGCCCCATTCCTGGAGGTGCTCAAGGCTGAGTTGCATGGGCCTGGGGCAGCTCTGCCCATGTCAGGGGGTTGGGACTGGGTGGGTTTTAAGGTCTCTTCCAACCCAAGCCTTTCTGTGATTCTATGATTTGCTCTGTAGTGGCTGCTTAGGGTGGAAGAAAGGCAGCAGTGCTAAAAAAGCACTGTGATGGTCACCCCAGAGCAGCTGGGGCAGTGGTGAGTGGTGCACGAGCTCCTTCATCCCCTCTGTGGGACTGCCGGCCCTGCTGCGGCCCGAGCACGCCAACGGTTTCTATAAACTCTCCAGCAAATATTTGGGAATGCTGAACATATCTGCAGCAGCTGGGATTCCTGTTCATACACTGTTTATGAGCTAGTGTTTAAATTCAGAGGGTAATGTGCTGTCTGTAAATTATTCTGGCCTCTCCAGTGGCAGTCATGGAGCTAGTTTGCTTTACTTCCAATCTACAGCTTCTGATGGGATGGGGGAACCACAAAGCTACAGAGCTCCTTTGTTCTCTTTCTGGCTTACGGGGGCTGGAGTCCACTTCTCCATGATGAACGTTTTCCATTTTCAGTGCTTTTCTATAAAAGAAAACATTTCAGTAGTGAGCCCCTTTCATTTCTCACTGCACAGCTACCATTGCCCCCTCTTGGCTTTTGTTTGCCCACAGACCAAGATCTCTGTGTGAATATCGCTGCCACCAAGAACGACCTTTCTGAAGGGGACACCCTGTGGCTCAGTTGCACGCTGGAAGCCCAGAGGAGTGACAGCAGACACTTCCAGGTGGCTTGGGTCCTCAACAGCACAGAAGTGGCCAGGATTGACCCCCATGGGTTGCTGATTTGGAAAAAGGAATATGAGGAAAGAGCCAGACTGGGGCAGCTCCAAGCATTCAAACAGAGCAAAGCAATTTACATTCTCACTATCCGTGAGGTGGGGCTGGAGGACAGTGGGGCCTACCACTGCTCTGTTTTAGAGGTGAAGGCTCCTGGGAGTCTCCAGAGCATCCAAACCAACCTGTCATCAGTTCTCAGAATCAGTGTGAAGCCTATTGGTGAGTAAATCCTAATGGTTCTTCTGGGTGAAACCTACAGAGATGCCTGGCTGAGGAATGCACTGAGTCTGGCCTTGCCTTGGCAGGCGCAGCTCAGCTTCTGTTGCTGCAAGAGCTCCAGTGTGCCACGCTTTTCAGATGATAATGGGAAAAGTATTTGCTCTGACAAATATCAGCGTGATGGGGGCAGCAGCAGCCAAAATGAAGCATACATCTTTAGCCTGGTTCTTTGCAATCAGTTTAGGACAAGAAGTTAGAACTGTGGGAAGCTGGGTGCTTGGGGACCCTGGTGGTGGACCAGGAGACAGGGCAGGACAGGAACTGTGGCTAGGGCTGTAAGAGCAGAATAAAGCTCAGGAGAGGAGGAGTGTGATGGAGGTTTTGTCATGCTGACGAGATTCACAGAGTGCAAAATGAGTCTGAGAACTGGTGTGAGGTGTGTTGTGAGATGCCCTGGATGATGATGAAGATGTGGGGGTGGTGCAGGGTGGCAGAGGGCAGGACTTCTGTCCCATCACCATGGGCTTTTTCCCACTCAAGCAGGTCTTGGACTACGTGCCACGCTGAGAAGCCGAACAGCCACCGTTAGTTACACACAGAGCTTTGAGCTTATCTGCCACGTGAGCGCCAGCCGCCCAGTTGAGGAGTTGCTGCTGTCCGTGGGGTGGCTCTTCCAGCCCAAACCACCCACCGATGGCTACCAAGAGTTAGTGCGTGTCCTTCCTGATGGCACCGTGTCCTGGGGACCAGCACAGCCCCGCTTCCAGGGCAGAGCTCAGCTGATGAAGGCAGGTGCCTTCTCCCGGCTGCACATCCACAGTGCGATGGCTGGCCATGCAGGAACGTACCAGTGTGAAGTGGGAGTCTGGAGGACGCTTCAGGGGCAGCGCGCTGTCTCCTTCATCTCCAACCCTGTGGGGATAAAGGTTGTCCCACCAGGTGAGTGGTGCTGCTGGTGCTTCTTATGCAGGCAGTTCCTTCAAACCTCTTGGTCACAACTAAAACAGCTGATGGCTGGGTGTCTCCAGTAGGGTTGTCTCTAGGACTGCATAAGGCAGTGCTGCTCATCCTGCTTCTTCCTTTGGATTTTAGGGGTCGCAATCCAGTGAATTGAGATCATGCTTTTCCATGCTTTCTTCACTGATGTGTTTGCTATAGCCTAAGCTAACGCATTTCCTTCCCTCCTCAGTTTCACAGTACTCTTCCCCCTACACCCTTGGTGCTCTCTGTGGAGTTGGATGCTGGGTGCTCTGTTTTACATTCTGAGGAGGTCAGAGGACAGTGATGCAGCTGAGGGGACTGAAAAATGTGGTTGTGAGCATGCAGCAGTGATGTAAATGTTATTAAGATAAGCAAGTGTGATCATAGTCTCTACAGAGCAGACAGCAAGACATGATGACATTTGGCTTCGGACTTACTGCAGCCATTGCTGGACATTGTGCAGATGTAATGAGAAAGGCCATTCCCTTTCACCCTCAAGTTATGCCAGGGCAGGTTTTAGCTGGATATCAGGAAATATTTCTTCCCAGAAGAGTGGTGAGGCAGTGGCACAGGCTGCCCAGGGAGGTGTTGCAGTCACCGACCTTGGAGATGTTCAAGAACCATATGGATGTGGCACTGAGGGATGTGGTTAGTGGGCATGGTGGGGAGAATGGGTCACTGGTCAGACTGGGTGATCTTAGTGGTCTTTTCCAACTCTAATGATTAGACGATTCTGTTCTGGGAATGTGTGACCCACGTGGGTGACCAGATGGCTGCTGACTAGTGCTGCTTCTCTATGAAAGGTGGTAACATAAGCCATGCAGTATGTTTAGAAGGTTCAGAATAAAGCTGAAGAGGGACCTGCTCTAGCAGCAACAGGTTGAGACTGTGCTGCAGAATGTAGTCCTCCTAATCACAAAACTTACCAACCTGTTCCTCTGCATGTGAAATCTCCTGAATGGAGCTCTCTGAGATACTCAAGTTCACGATCTGTGTTTCAGTGTTTTATCTACCATTCTGTGTTGCTGTGTTCCTCAGAGCTTTAAGGACATGTGCAGAAGGTCACAGTGGGAGGGGGAAAGGAGGATAGATCTTCCCCCTCCTTTACTTCTTGCCCTCCCCTGTTCCTCCAGGGCAGTGCAGTGTGCTGTGAGATGCATGGCAGCACTTGCCAGTTCCCTGGGATGGTCACTTCCCAGACCTCCCAGTGATCATTACTGCAAAATCTGCACTGCTGAAGCGTTGGGCGGTAAGCAGATGTTGGAACTTACGGACGTGCTGTGCAGTGTGTGGCTTCAGGTTAATAACTGCTGCAAGCATTCAAGATGGTGCCTGTTGGCAAAACCACCAGGGTTTTTTTGTTCTTTCATTTCAGAAAGCCTGCTGCAGGTGGCTACGAGGGAGACCTCCGTGGAGGTGGCTGGCGGTGCTGATGCAAGCATGGAGTGCAGAATGGAGTTCCCCCTGAACAACTCTCAGCTGGCTATCAGCTGGTACTACATACCTCCTCCTCCAGCAGATGCCACCCCCATGCAGATCTTACGGGCCAGCCACACTGGCCTGCTAGAGTATGGGGCTGGGTTCAGCTCCCCAACGCAGAAGTCCCGGTTCCTGAGCCAAAGAGTGTCCAGCCATGTGTTCCAGCTGCGGATTCTCTCAGCCAGCCCTGGGGACCAGGGCCAGTACTGCTGTGCGGTGGAGGAATGGCGCTGGCTGGAGGGTGGCTGGTACAGCCTCGGAGAGCGGTGGTCGGGGAGAACCAGGCTGCTGCTCCGGCTGCCTGGTGAGCTGCTAGGGGAGGGGAGGGGAAGTTCTGTCTGAAGGGGCCTCTAGCAGGGTATGGGAGAAACAAAGGTTCCCGAACAGAGCAGAGATATTGAGATTCTTTGCCTGGAGTGTGCCTTTCAAAGGGAAATGGGGAATTAGGAGGATTTGCCACATCCTCCCAAACAAATCGAGCTGGTATTTGTGCCTCCAGCAGCAGATGTCTAATACCTCACAACAAAGAGAACCACAGCCCTTGCTTTCCTATGTGACATGGTGTCCTTGGGCAGCGGTGCAGTGCTGAATACAGAGCAGCAGCCTTTTCCCAGTGCTTCTGGGTGTCCAGATATAAAGCTTCTCCTATGCTGGGGCATGCAGCCAGAGAGAGCAAGACTGAGGGCTCAGCTGGGCTTCCTCCTTGGGTGCTGCACCTCTGGGATGTGCAGGGTGGGGGGTTCTTCCCCCATTCAGTGTCTCATTTTCAGCCTCAGATGATCTAGATCAGAAGACTCTGGCTTACTAAATATTCTTTGGTGCAAAGGATGCTTATTGGGAAGAGGACAGGGGGTGGGGTACAGAGATGGTGGAGGGGAAAAAACACCGTGGACAGAATGAGTCACAGAGACAAGGGAACCCATGGTGTCCTTCAGAGGCACATGCATAAGACTATCCAAGTTCCCAGACTTCCATCAGGCACAAGCAGGAGTGCCTCCATAGCAGTGCACAATGCTGTGACAGCTCTTTCTGCTTCCCTTTCCCCTCAGAGAGTGAGCTGCACCTGGAGAAGGCCAACAGCAGCATCTTGGCCAGGCATGGCCAGGAGGTGACGCTGGGCTGCCTGCTGAAAAGCACACTCCCGCCTGCCGCCCGCCTCTCGGCCACCTGGTTTCATGGGAAGGAAGATGGTCACGAGAGGCCCCTGCTCACCCTGAACCACGATGGTGCCATTGAATTCCTGCAGGAGGGGCAGGTGGGGAGGCTGCAGCTGCGGCGGCCCACTGCTGGTGATCTGAGCTTGACACTGGGCAGCGTGCAAGAGGACGATGCCGGGACGTATCACTGCCGGGTGGAGGAATGGCAGCAGAGAGGCAACAAGGATAAGTGGGAGCTGCAGACCTGGGCGCTCTCAGGGTACACCCAGCTCACCACCACCCCACCAGGTAATGGCATACAGCCACTCGCCTTGCACTCCTCCCCACCGCCCCCCACCACCACCCTTAGCTTGCTGGGGTGCATCATGCATCCTCCTTATTTTGCTGCAGTGCAACTAGGGATGATAGCAGTGATGAGAGGACTTGCTAAGGGACCTCAGTGAGGTCATCCTGGGAAGACTGACCTGGATTGAGAACTAGGGTAGGGAGGAGAAGAGCAATGCAAAATGGCACATGCTGGGAGTAACATCCCAGCCCTATCTGTCTGCCAGGGCTGAAACCTGAGTTCTTGTTCTGTAAGTGCTGGAGGTGGAGGTCTGGTAGGATGCCAAGAGCTCCAGCCATGAGTGAGATGTAGTTCTGAGCAGGGTACTGCTGACTGTCACTGATGGATTGCAGGCTCTCTGCAGGACCGCATACCACCAGCCCTGCTCTCAGACCAACCATTTGGGCTAGAATGCTAACCATTTTTTAGAGAAAAAATCTTGTTGCAATTTTTTTTGGCATCTCAGTCTTTGGTTGAGGCCTTAAAAAACAACCATTGTCCTCTTAGGGTGTGTGAAATAGACTGGATTCAACATCTAGGAGCTTAAATAAATAAAAGGAAAGGTTTCTGTCAGGCATACAGAATGTTTTTAGGGAGGTAACTGACAGGAAAAAAGTACTCTCTTGACGCCTTGTTGGGGAAAAAGGAGGCACGGATGACCCACACAGAGGAAGAAATATGACCTGTGAAATCAGCCATGCTGTACGCAACTGGACTGAGGTGCATGCAGCTTTGGAACTGCCCCACTCCAACCAAATCTGGTTTCTGTAGCGGTCATTATTCCTGCTTTTACCAGCACCAATTGAGATAGAAGGGCACAGAGGGACTCATGGGTCCCCCCTGTGCCTGCTTCTGGCACATGCACAAAACTGCACCTCTGGCAGAGCTAATCTGAGTTTAACTGCTCTGCGAGGGACCGACAGCATGCCAGCCCTCTGCAGATCTCTTCTTGCTGTTGTTCATTGCAGCTCTCCCTGGCACTCAGGCTTCTCCTTCCTCAACCCCCTCCATCTCCTGTTAACTGTTACTGGTGAATAGCCATTGCTGGAATTGCTAGAAAATTCTCCTCCAGTCTGATCCACGTGGTTTGATCTACATGGTTGCTACATGGTTTTCATGGCTTTCACAAAATCTGAGATATTAGCTGGCTATTTTTTCTCCTCTTTTTCATTTTATTTTGTTTATCTGGTGATGTAGGTATCTTGAAAAGTTGTCTGAGCGTAATTCCACAGTCGTGCACAATGCGCCTGCAACCAGGGGTCACTTCACCTCTGAGCCCTGATGCCCTTTTAGGATACCTCTCTAGCACTGTGGGAGCTTCTCCTGTTTTTCCTGTGGGAAAGTCAGTGCTGCTTCACCCTGTGTGGGTAAGATGTAGAAGTTGAGAGGGAGAGAGATAAAAGCCAGTTTTATGGCTGGGAGCAGCTGCCGAGTTGCTTCATCCCTAGGTTCACAACTGAGCCCACCAGGCTTTGTGGGTCTCCCAGAGACAGCCTGGGATCGAAAGAGCTACCACACCATCACGGTTCTGCAGAGCAAGCATGAAACATCACTGCACAGCATGGGTCAAAGAGAGAACTAAGATGGACAGAACAGACCCAAGCAAGTTGGTGTGGCCCTTCGTGGTAAGCCACATCCATCTGAGATCAGTTTGTGAAGTTAAAGCTGTGTGTCATAGAATCATAAAGATTGGAAAAGACCTCCAAGATCATCCAAGTCCAACTATAAGCCCATCACTACCACGTCCACTAAACCTCATCCCTCAGCACAAAGAAAGGAGATCATAATGGTCACGACTACTGGGTGAACATGAGGAGCTTAGAACAGAAGGAACAGGCTAGCATGGGACTGATCTACCCCAGCCTTTTGGAGGAGATGGAGGGTCTACCAGAGTATGGTGCATTCACCTGCAAACTCCTTGAGACCTCTTGTTTCCTTTGCTTTCCTCTCATACTTCCTTGCTCTGGAACAGCCTGTGACAGATCTTTAGCTGTCAGTGGTGTCAGGCAGGGAGCAGGGGGTGATGACTATGTGGCTTGAAGAGCTGTGCTGTTTCTGGTGGGATTTTTCAGCTGTGAGAGTGAGATAGGTCCCTGTCTGACCTCCCAAGACAAGAAATTCAGGCATATTACCTTGTTTCTCTTCCCCTTTTTCTCAAATAACCAAGAAAATGTGGTATGAATTCTCAAAAATTGGTAGATTGAAGGAAGAGCAATAAGAAGATAACCTATAGAAACAGTAAAAGAGGGCAACTCAAACTAGCTTGGGATCTCAGTTGTTTTTCCTTCTTTTTTTTCTCCCTCCAGAGATAACAGTTGCGTCTAGGATCTGTTCATCTCCATCATTGCTGAACTTTATCCTATGCTTACCTCTGGTTCTGATCCTTCTCCTGGCCCTTGCTGGCTTCTGCTGGTGCTTCATCTCCAGGAAAAGAAAAAAGGGCACCATGAGAGGAAACCAGCTGGTGGAACTGCAAGGGGCTGAGGAGATCAAGCAAACTTAGCTGGTCCGTAATGGGTGATGTAACTTGAAGAAAAGGAACTGGATGTTTGAGAGGACCAAGTACTTGAAGAGGGGTGGCTTGTTGTTTTGCTGTAGCTTTTGCAATGAATACTTGAAAATGTGTGTTTACTTTCAGTGAAACAAAACAGCTCTGAGTTACTGAGCAAATAAGGTTTTCAAAATGGATGTTCCTCTCTCTTAGATTTGGAACCCACTCACATGTTCACTGTTGTGGCTGCTTGTGGTGTTTGAGGTGCTTGTGGTATGCATGTCCACTGCTGCTGTGTGGAAGTGGTATTCTTTTCAGGTGTAAGGGGAAAACTGGTTTTGCCCTGGAATACAAAAGTATTAAACTGCTGCTCATTTTAAGGCAATTTGACAAAATCTGTGCAGTGCACAGCTAAAAATCCTTGGCAGCACTGCAAATGGAGTGCTGGCATATCATTTAAGGCACTGCACTTGCCTTTCCCATCCCTTGCTGGAGGAGAATTCGGACACTGTTACCCTCTGGTTCTGGGAGACCCCTTGTCCAGAGAACATCTCCAAAAGGAAATGGGTCTTCATCACAAAACCCACTGCAGGAGGTTGAGAACTGAGCAAGGCTGGCCATAGAATCACAGAATCATTTGAGCTGGAAGGGACCCTTACAGGCAATGCAACCCAGCTCTCAATGAACAGGGACACCTATAACTAGATCAGGTTGCTCACAGCTCCATCCAGGGCTGAGGGGTGAGCCCTGAAGGAAGTCCATAGACTACTTGGGAAGCTCTTGCTTCTCTGTTCAGCCACTTCAACCTTTTCCTGCAAGTGGTATTTTTTTCTCCACCTCTTACAACTTCTCTGCTGTTTGTCTGAGTCATATCTTGATAATGTTTCACCAGTATCATGCTCTCTCTCAGTATTTTCCTTCAGATGGTTTCCATTGCTTGCTCATAAGAGTATCTTGGGAATGTATTTCAGAGGCCTTGCTAAAGTCAGGAACGTGTGCTGCCTGCTGCTTACCCCTATAGAGAGCAAGAAGGTCTCCCCTGAGTCTCCTCCTTCGTACTGAGCAATCAAGTTCCCTTGGCCACTTCTCATAAGACTTGTGCTCCAGGTGCTCACAACTCCGTTGCCTTTCTCTGGACATGCTCCAGGGCCTCCATGTCTTTCTTGTAGTGAGGGGCCCAGAACCAAACAAATGATCTGTCCTTGTTTAAACAACAAAAACATTTCTGTTTTTTGAATTCTTCTAAGTGCCCTGAGTGCTTTTTTTTTTTTTTTTGCCTTTGCATGCCTGTGAGGACTGCAAGTTAGGAAGATGTGGGTTTCATTTTCTGCTTTGTATTTTCTTGTTGCTCAGTGTCTCACACCACAACCATGCGGCTTCACAGCCTGCTCTTCACATGTCTTAGTGTGAACCTGATCAAGATGAGCCTTCTGCTGAAAAATCTACCTTGTTGGGATCATTATCGCTCGGTGGTGTCATAGAGGAACCCCCATGTTGCTGCTGTGGCTGAGTGGGTTGGTCTGTATAAGCTGTGTGAGTCCTTGGGGTGGCTGTGCTGGACTTGCTGAGTCCGTGCTGCCCCTGGCTTGGCCGCCACATTGTTCTATGGAAGTGACTGCTGGCATCTAACTGCTGTGTAAGGAGCTGCAGACTCAGCTGTAACGTGAGATCGTGCATCTGGTGGAGTGAGGGAAGAAGGTGGGCAGGGAGGGGGAGATTTCTCCAGCCATAGGACACTCCTTTCTTTTTCTGCCCCCTTTTTTTTTTCTCAGCCAGAGGCCAAAGTAGCAGTTTTCCATTCACACAGGTTGAGAGGTTTTAACGTAGTTTTGAGAAATGTGCCTGGAGCCCTGATGAAAGGGTCTGTAAGAAGAATGCATGTGTGTGTTTGCGGTGGGGGTTTTTTCTTTTTCTTTTTTTTTTCTTTTTTTTTTTCCTTCTGGTTTTGCTGGGGTGCTGCCAAACCTTTTGGCTATGTTTTTTAAGACGTATTTTTTTCCACAAGAGGCCTTAGAGTTGTAACTTATCCCAGTTAAAACTGCAGAACGATCCTGTTTTCAGAGAGAACGTTTCATTTGGCTGAGGCAAGCGGAGGAGAAGGAGAGAAAGGAGCATGGGGTGGGTCAGGAGTACAATAGTGGGTGGTAGAAAAGTCTGTGGTCCTTCAGGTCTTGTATGTATCTTGACAGGGCGACAAGGCAACAAAGAGTTGGGCCCAAGAGGAATGAATTAGCTGTGAAAAACTTGTGAGGGTTACAGAAACACAGAGCTGCACTGTGCTGGAAGCTTTGAGGGGTCTGAAGTTGCTCTCCCTGCGCCATCAGAAATCAGTCCCAGGCTGCTTCTATGCTGTTCTCCAACAGGGTAAGGAAGGTCTCGTGCAACTTTGCTGCTTGGCAGACCTTCCTCTGCAGAAGATGGATGGTGTGAGGAGTCAGGTGGGAACACATTGCACTGCGTTGCCTTCCTGGAATGCTTTTCTGGCTCTGCCTTTGGGGAGGAGCGAGGCCAATGCTTGATGACCACACAGGGAGTTTGTGCAGTATGCAGTGGCACAAAGGGTTGCCCGACTGACTCTCTTGAAGATTGGTCTCCTGAGGGCCTTTTGCTGCAAGACTGTGAGGAAGGAGGCTGGGTGGTTAGGTGGGTGCTGTGCAGGTGGCAAATGGCTTGCAGGCAAGGAGATGCTTTGCATCCTCTTGCAGATGATGGCTCAGAATTTCCTATAGTGCTCCGCTCTCTGTTAGAAGAGAACAATGGAGCAATGTGCTGCCCTGGTGCTTCCAGGGCAAGGCTGTTGAGGAAGTTTTCCCAACTTTCCAGAAGTGCTTCCAGGCAAACAACTTCCACTTCTTTTGGTATGCCCGCTCTGAAGCAGTGTGCCTTCATTCCTTCCTGTTAACTCTGATTTGCTTTAGAAATTTGATATTGTTTTCTTCCTGTGATAAAGTATTTTATAACTGGAAATAAAAGATGCTTTAGTCTCACTTTATGCCATTCTGCATTCAAACTGGGTCCTTGCAGCCCCTGCCTGTTTCACATGTCCTTCAGCCCTGGCCTTTGGCATCTAATGCAGAGCAGAATCACTCCTGGGGCTCTAACCCTTCCTTAACTGCTGAGAAATCACTGTGCTGCATCTGCCTGCTGCCAGCACTCAGCCCTTTGCCTCTGCTTCCCCGCCTCCCCCTTCTCTTCTTCCAGCAGATAGGGGATGGCAGTCCTGTTGCACAGGGCAGGAAAAGGCAATCATTGCTCTCCAGCAGTGCTTTCTAAGGCAGAAGCAGTGCAAAGAGTGGGGCTCGAGGAGGATGTGGGAGAGGCAATGCAAGCAGGCAGGAGGAACTGGCCCCATGTCTCTTCAGGCAAAAAGGGGCTGCTTGTAGTGCTGTGGGGTAAGCAATATTGATATCATCCACCTGTTTTTTAAGAATATGTACATAGTTTAGAACAAATGCAAGCCTATTTCCCCAGCAGGTTGTATTGAGAAATGCAAACAGGAAAGCAGAGTCCAGGTTACTTCTGCAACCCAGACAAGAAACAGAATACTGCAAGCAGCAATTTTGAGCATGTTCTTTGGAGGTATCTTGCTTTTCATTCATTACGTCTTTTCCTGTAGGTTTCTAAATGTAGCTATGTGCTTATAAATGATGCTGAGCCTGGATATTTGGTAAAGGGAGAGAGAGGAGGAGCTGCCCCTCACCATCCCTGGAGCCAGTCCTCACGTGGCTGCCCCAGACCCTTCCTTGGAGAACACTGATGATGAAGCACTGTGGGGTGGCTGTGAAGCAAGAGGTGAGCTGGTGTTCAGCCTCATGCCTGCTGTCTCTCCTCGTTGTAGGGCTGGGAGAGCATTCATTGCTTGGACTTCCAACCAAGTGTGAAAATTCACAGGTCAGGGGGTGGAAAAAAGGCTGCTATTAGTGTTATTTTAAGCGCGAGGGAATGAATTGGTGAGTGCTGGGAGCAGTATGGAAAAGCAAGAGAGGCAGTGCCTCCTTGCAGCCCCTTCATGGGGCAGTGATGCTGAGGAGAGGATCGCTGCCCGATTTGAAAGAGAATGGAGCCATGACCAATCACTGTGAAATGTGGCAATAATGGCTTGCGCAGTGGCCGTGGGATAAAAGGCAGGGACAGTCTGAACTGTAAAGATGTTTCATTTCCCTGGTAATGAGGGAGACACACTGTGGCAATGGAACCAGAGAGAGAGAGAGGCCGTGAGATGCTAATTTCTGCTCCTGCTGCCGCTGCCGCTTTGATCTGAAGCAAATGCCCGTTTTAAATTGCAAACGGATGCAAGTCAGATATCATCCAGCCACTGGCTTACAGGCTTAATGAAGTGGGACGTACGCCTTGGCCTGATAATGCTCGGAGAGGCAGGCATCTCAGAAAGGAATTACTGAGGGTCTGAGGAAATGGGAGGAGGGCTGGGGATGTCATGGGGGAAATCACCACCAGGGGCATAAAGCCTCCTGCTTGGTGTTCTTGGCAAACTGGCTGAGTCCATCATCCTCTATGCCAAAGAAAAGATCTGAGTGTGCTGCCCTGCTGTTATGTGTCTTATGTTTCAAGGCATCTTGAACAGGTCACCGAGGTTATGGTGCTCTTTGATCTCAGAATGGGCATCAATTTGATGCTCACTAGATAAGCACCAAACTTACGAAAGAGAAACCAGCTCATTTTGTGCTATCGTTTGGGCACTTAATTGGACTTTAGAAAGACAATGTTGAGACTCTATTGATAAGGCTGCTCTGGGTCTGCCCAGAGGCCCTGGGGAACAAGTTCACCATGCCAGCAGTGATCTGGGAGCATGGTAGCTCACACTGGACAACGCTGTTCTTGAGTCTCATGCGAAGATCTACCTGTTTTGAAGGATTAATGTTGAAAGGGATAGAATCACAAAATTCTTAAAAAGACTGCTCGGATCACCCAGTCCAACCACCAACCCACCCCACCATGCTCACTCTCAGTGCCACATCCACATAGTTCTTGAACACCTCCAGGGACGGTGACTGCACCACCTCCCTGGGCAGCCTGTGCCAGTGCACTGCCACTCTTTCTGAGAAGAAATGTTTCCTGATATTCAACCTGAACCTCCCCTGGTGTAACATGAGGACGTTCCCTCTCATCCTATCGCTGGTTAGATATTTATTACACTTTTCATTAAGGCAACGCGCTTGGGTCCTACTGTCAAGCCAGAGTTTGTTGTGTACCTGAAGTACCTCCCTGCACAAGAGCAATGGGATACAGAAAAAGCTAACTGGAGGTAAATAGTATCATCATCCAGGCATTTTTATATTCTTATTCTACATTTTCTACATTTACATTGCAGCTTTGCATATTACTGCAGAAGATGCAAAAAGAAGCATGCACCTCCTCACACCCTCTCTTCCTCTCCTACTACCCCACAAGGCTTTTGTTTCTGAAAATGCTTTCAGATGACTTCCCCATTGGTAGAGTAAATCACTTTAATCTGAAGAATGCAAGGCAAGATGAAGTTTTTAGATTATGCTTTATTTTCCTATGGCATTTTTCGTTTACGGACATCATGCCATCACAATGCATAGTTAAGAATTTTCTCTGCCTGACAAACGAGGGAGCTTTGATGCAGCAGTTTGCTATGAAACAGTGAGGAGAGAAAAAATAAATCAGAAGTCTCCTCTAGAGAAGGAGACAGGAAGAAAAGCTGACTCCAATACTGAGAATTAAAGGGAAAAATCTCTGCTGGACCCAAAATAAGTCTCCATAGAAACAGCTTTTTCTGAAAATGAATTACTGCGGTATGAAATGAAGATTGTGAATCTAGTTCTGCAAAATATTTAAGCATGTTCTTTGCTTATCCCTATTCAGCTCAGGATGCAAGCATGTGATTTCCATGGGTGCTTATGTGCTTTATTTGATTGAGGTAGGAATACGAACAAGCACTGTTGAATGGAGATCTGGACTTTCTTGTGCTTCCTCACGACTGACCAACTTACAACTTATTTTTTAATGCAAACACAAATTGCTTGGCTGCTAAAATTACAGACAGCAGCACATAGAACACAGTACCTCATTTTTGGAGTTCAGCACAAGGTTCCAGTAGATTCTTCTCATTAACGGGGAGTGGAGTCAACAGAGTGTTTACATTGCTGGGTACTTTACTGTTCTGTTAATTAACTCTTGTTGCATTTGCATGCAGATTTAAATTTATATGGGATATTTATTCTGTAAATTAACAACATGGTGATTATCGTATAATTAACTTGAGAGTCAATGGCATGAGAGGTTGAGATTTATTCCTAATCTATCTTTTGTGCACCTCTATTTATGGTCTAAGGACATTTTTAAGATGGGATAGGTTCTTAATATCTTGCATGCTAATTTACTTTTATTGTGAAAGTGTGCTAGCAAACAATTGTTTTTAGTTTAAGCTATTTGAGACTGCATCTTTTTTTTCCTTCTGTTGTGACTTTATGTTCAGCCAAATTAATAGGATAAATGAGGTCTGACTCAAAGCTTTATTCCCGTTTACTATACTTGGTATAGGTGAAGATTTTGCATAGCTAAGCTGTGGGTGCTCTTCTTCACAGAAACTTCTTACTGCTTTTTATTTCTCACTGACTTCTGACTTATTTATGTGGGGAGGTATCCATTTATAGATTCCCCATCTAGGCATTTCCCAGTGTCGCTATAGAGCCGTGCGTAGTGAATTTAAGGTCATCAGTGATGGGGCTATGGGACAGTCTTCAGAAGACCAAGTAATCTTCATGGGAAGATTGTGTCCCTTCCTCTCTGCCTGTCCCAGCCAAAACAAGCTCTCAAGACATTTCAACAATCCATCTTAACATAACCTTCAGCACAGAAACTGTTGACCTCCTGTTGAGCCAACATGAATGGTCTCCCTCCTATGTGACCTTCGAATCTGTCCCTGCATTGAGCTTTATGTGCACCAAGCTGGAGGTGGTCACTGTATCGAGGCTCCTGCTGGAGCCCAAGTCTTCAGCAGGGGCATCATCTCCAGCTGAAACTGCCCCTTGGCCCTGTTGGACTTGAGTTTTCTCTCAGAGGTTCAGCTGTTTCTTGGTACTTCCTGAATTCCACTCTCATTTTGCAGACTTCCTCCCCTCCTCCATGCTGTGGGACAGATATTTTTTATTTGTCTGTGCCTGCTATTCTGTCATCATCTGAACTGCATGCCAGAGATGGCAGCAGTTGTAGCTCATTTTGCAGTGGTTCACAACTCCAAGCCTTTCAGGGGCTGTGAAAAAGATGCTGTCAAAGGAAGTCCTGTCCCTCCATGAGTCCAGCCAGGGGAAATGCAGGTGCCTCATGCACATTCTTTCCTCTCAGGTGCTTCCAGATCATGAGGAAGTCTGTGACCTGTGCAGAGTACAAAGTGATGGATAGAGTTGCACAAAAAGAGCAATGGTTGTTGCCCTTTTACTGCCTCCTCAGATCCCAAGGATCTCCGTTTCCACTCTGCACTGACAAATGATCAAAGCTGCCTGAATACAGGGTGTTCAGTGAGGGCCTAGTCCTCTCTGGTTAGAGCCTATGAGGGCAGGTCCTTCTTCCCCAGGCCCTACGGGGGTCAGGCTGACTCTCTGGAGGTTGAAGCAGAGAGGAGATTTGTGCTTCCACGTGCCAATGGTGATGGCTAACCAGTGCAGTACTTGGCTTCTGTTGGGCTTGCCTAGGTCCCCCCAGAGGTGCCTTGTGTCCATGAATCCAGGCACGTCCTCATCCCCACATACGGCTCTATTGGGCCACGCACATGGTCCACTGCTCCTCAGTTGGGCACGTTTCCCTTCTGAGCTTGCAAAGCCTGCTGTTGGTGTGCCATGGAAATAAATAGAAATTTATTTTTAACCCAGTGTGAGATTTCTCATTCTTAGCTTTTTTTTTTTTTCTTTCCTCTTTTTCATTTTTCCCCTCATAATTGATTCTGCTTTTACTAACAATTTGGAATTTAGCATCTATTCCTGCCTGAGAGTGTTACTTTGATAGCTGGTATTAGAGAAGGAGATTAAGGCTGTTGTTAGCAGTGGAGGCTGCAGGACATATGGGTAATGCAGACCTGCTAGTGACAAAGTTGTTTTGAGGCAGTGGGACAGATTGCCCGACTTAGCAGCAATGAAATGGTGATGAGGTAAGTAGTGCTGGGAAAATCCTATTAGGGAAGGAGAACAGCACACTGGAACCAAGTGATCACAAGGTGCACGGTGCCAAATGTGTTGTTTCTCTAAGAAATCAAATTCACGTTAGTTGCCCAGTGGGGGCTCATCTCTCTCCAAACTGCATTTGCTCTGTGAGCATGCTCACAGGCTGCTCTGAATGTACCAGCATTTAGTAATAGGTGAAGACCAAAAGATGATGATTCTAGCCCTTCCAGGCAGTCAGTTCTGATTTAAGTCAGGTGTTTTGACCTCCATCCCATTGACAGACATGGAGCAGGATGAAGGACCGAGAGATCTAGAACAGCATCCTGGATCTGATCCCTGTTGCTGTGATGGAGGTTAGAGCAGACATGCTCTTTGCTGAGCAGGAGGGCAGAGATTTCCTTAATGCATACAGGGCAGCAGAAATGCATACGCACCTAAAGGTTTGGCTAACTACCACTAGCTCTCAAAGCTTCAATCTATTTTCCCCTATTGGGACTGTTCTGCAGCACTGTTCCTAAAGCATTTCCTGGGCTCTGTTTGGCCAGCAGGTGTTTTTCTGTGGGTTTGGTTTTGTGTTTTCTTTTTGCCTGTTGCTCTACAATAACTAGATTAGCCACCATTTATTTGAGACAGGACAGCGGCTGGTGATTTGTGTGCTATTGTGGGCGTAGGGGCTGTGTGATCTTATGATGAGAGCTGATTGCTGTGCAGCACGAGGGGACAGATTAGGATAAATGACACGGAGGAGTCTGGGTCCACCAGCGGGCTGCAGGCTGGTGGATGGGGGATGCAGGTGGGATGATCTGCGTTTTTAAACATAGCCTCTCCCTGCACCCTCATGATTAAGGGCAGCGCTGTGGCAGACATGTCTCTATTTTTATTCTGTTTTTATTTTTTTTTCAGGAGGAGTTGGGGGGGGGGACAAACAAAGGAATCAATCCTCTTGCAGAAGAAAGGAAGCACTAAGGAACTGGCCAGCAGAGGCAGCACTTCTGCCACAAAGGTCAAGGGCTGCTTGGGCATCAGAGACTCACCAAGGTTGGAAAAGACCACTAAGATCATCTAGTCCAACATGACTAGCTAGACCCAGCATGGGATGGCGCTGTCATGATTCTCTTGGTAAGAGGAAGGGGACTCTAAGAGGAACAGCTGGAGCCAGCACACCTGGGTGACATAGGGACTGTCCCAGAAGGGACCCTAGGAGGGATATCTGCTGTGTCTCCTACTACTGTAGGGAAATGCAGCAAAGACCAAGCACGAACTGCAAAGACCTGGAGAAAGGCTGGAGTCTGGATTTGGGTCACATCTCCTTGAGTATCCCTGTGCAGCCAAAGCCAGGTGAGCCCCAGGGTGAAAGGATAGTGTGTCTGCAGGACTGGTGTATAGTCAAAGGGTTCAGAGCCATCCACCCTTGGAATTCAGGAACAGGAGACTGTTTGTATGCTGAGGGTAGACAAAGCCATTGTGACACTGGTCAAAAAGTGTTTCATGCAGGAGGAACCTTGAGATACACAACTTCCCTCTTTCCCCTTTCATGCACCAGCTTCTCCTTTCTCATGGGAAGTGCTGTGGCTAGGGGAGACCATGTGAACTGATTCTCCTGCCCTGTAAGTGTTTTGCCAGCTGCGAAAGCTGCACGTATGCACTCTCCACATAAGGCTCTGTCAGCTGAGGGTTTGGAGTGTTCTCCTGATGCTCATGTGGATACTGATTACACCTATTTCTGTAGAACGCCACTTTTCAAAATCCCCATCCTCTACCTGTTTGAGTTGCAGAACTGAACCTCAGCATCCTGAGTCTTCATATGAAGCCATCGCTCCCCTGCCTGCCTATTTCTTAGCTCCCCATGCATCACAGCAGGGAGTCGAACAAGAGCCTTCCCTTTCTTGTTGCAGCTCAGCACTTCTTCGTCCACAGCAAAGCTGCAAGCATTTCGCTTTGCTCCTCTTGGCAAAAGCTTTGAGCCGCTATGGCCCCAGCACTGCTTGTGGCCCGCTTAGCCACAAGGAGCCACCCAAGGCAGCAAGGGCACTTGTGGAGCTGCTGGCTTCTATGCTTTCCCATATAACCTCCAACCTCTCACCCACAGACATGTGCTGCTGGGAGCTGCTGCTTCCAGGGCTGAGCATTGGCAGCCGCGTACGCTGCAAAGCGAAGCACGGCACAGCTAACCACTTCCATGTGGGGCAGCCGCAGCCACCCGGCTGCTCTTGCTGGTGATGTGACTTCCTGATGCTGCTCAGTGCTGTAGTTGTTTCCCCCAGCCTGTTGCCAGGTGCTGCAGCAACACATCACTGTACTCTTAGTCACGTTTTGGAAGCATTTTGGGGTGCTGGCGGCCTGCAATTTGCTGTGCCATCTGCACCACAATCGTGAAGGACCTTGAGGACTCCTTGCACTGGGAGTGGGACTTGGGACCTAAAAGGCTGCCAGAGCATGTCTTGTTTCCCAGCAGACCTTGGCTGACCTCAGTCAGGCCAGGGATTTTCACTCCATTATCTTGTGTTGGGTCTGAGTAACGGTGCCATGAAGAGGACACCAAGAAGGAGGGCCTCCAGCCCTTCTCTTGGCATGCACTACAGCAGCCAACCCTCTGCAGCTATCAGCACAACTTATTTCCCAGCAGACCTCATCTGGCTTCAGTTTTCAGCCACTGACTCTTCTTTTACCTTTGTCCACTGATATGTTGAAGAGTCTTCCGGTGGTATTTGCTTGAAGCATCTCTGGCAGTCCCTTTAAGAAATGTCTGCACAATGCTCTCAGACACTGGGTCTGTTTTTTGAGTTGTCCCTTGAGGAGCCAGGAGTTGGAACTGATGATCCCAGTGAGTCTCTTCCAGCTTGAGATATTCAGTGAGGTTTGTTGGGGCAATATAGGCTCAGTTCTCCATGCCCTTCCCTGAACATCATTTTTTACAATCCTGGAAGATCAAAATTGGCTTAAACAGGCAAAAGTCTAGAGTTATAAAAACATTAATTTCTCAAGTAACCCATGCTGAGAGGTCTGCTTAAATATGAGAATGGTTTGAATCACCTGTACATAACAAGGAGTGATTAAGGAAACTAAAGATGTTTTTTAATATTTCCTTCACATTCATTTTCACTACAACGTGGCTCTGGAGGTGCCTGTTCAGATCCTCCTCCTGTCTTGACAAAGACAAGATAGCATCAGAGATTGATGGGCTGGAAGAAGCAAATCATGTAAGTGTCGGTAAGCTGCCAGGTCTACATGGCACTCAATCAAGGGAGTCACAGGGATGGAAGTGCTG